ACTAATGCAATCCTGAGATGCATCAAGAGACATTTCTAGCAAAGATACAGCTGTATTAATGCCATTGTACAGGCAGCTGATGAGGCTTCTTCTGGAACAGCATGTACAATTCCCATCACTGGTGTTCAAAACTGATGAATCCAGATTGAAACAGGAAGGACCACTGATCAGGGAGACGAAGGAACTGCTTTGCAAAAGGAGATTACAAATTCGACTCCTACAGCCTGGGAAAGACAAATGTATATAATGACTGCTTATAAATGTATCAGGGAGCTAAACGTCAAGGTGGGGATAGACCTATTAGCCTGAAGGACAACATTGGCACAAGAATAAACAGGAATGAATTGGCCATAAATTTAAGCCAGTAAGTAGGAAGAAGTGTGCAAGTGACAGGAGAAGTGAGTCTGTAGCTGCCTCTTCTCTGAAACACGGAGGGGAAAAACCTGGTGAGGTTTAAGTTGGAGCTGGAAGGGGAAATGTGGAATCTGCCACGGTAGGGATTTGTTAAAAAACAACAACAACAAAACCAAACCAAACCAAAAAAATAAAACCAACACGGAGGGGAAAAACCTGGTGAGGTTTAAGTTGGAGCTGGAAGGGGAAATGTGGAATCTGCCACGGTGAGTCTGTAGCTGCCTCTTCTCTGAAACACGGAGGGGAAAAACCTGGTGAGGTTTAAGTTGAAGCACAAGAATTTCTGAAAGAGCAAATGTGGAAACTGCCACTGTAGGGATTTGTTAAAAAACAACAACAACAAAACCAAACCAAACCAAAAAAATAAAACCAACAAAACCAGACCAAACAAACAAACAAAAAAAACCCAAACCCAAAACCCAAACAAATGTTGCATGGATATGAAAGGGGATGTCAGCTACAGGGTGCCTTCTAGGAAGAACTCTAGCATCCAGTAAAAGAAAGTCCTCACGGAAATGTATTGTTTCTGTTGCTTACCTGTTCTCCATACGTTGAACCCAAGAACCCCATTTCTCCAGGCATTCTCCAAGTGCATAAGTGTAGTCCCTGCCCCAAAAAACTTAGAAACTAAGGTAGGACTTCTTGTTTGGTTAAAAATGTTTTATGGTGTCTCAGGATACTTTCCAAAGGAGGCCAAACCGGTGAAACAAATTCACAACATGCTTTTAGTGTTCAACTGATATATTAAACTGGATTATAGACTTGTATCATAGGAAATTATACTTGCGCTTTAGTTCCATTAGCCTACTTTAAACATTGGTATTAAAAGCGGATACTTACTTAAATACCAAACTGTGCCTGGGTTATAATCTGTTTCTCTGATATCATAGATCATTTGCAAACCACAAAGCCCCTTTGATCTTGCAGAATGCTCAACTGAACTTAAAAGGAAATTAAATGCAGAGCTCAATTTTTCATTAAATTGTCACCCACTGTTTTAGAGTTATGACTCTTCAGATCTGTTTCTTCTAACAGGTGGACAAACAGAATGTTAATACCATGGTATCTGTGGAGTTATAAAATCTGCACTGAGCAAGAGATTTTCTAATTATTATCGCTTCTTTATTAGCGAGGCTAAAATCTCATTTTTCCAAAAACTCTCAGGACATTCTAACACACGACTGAAAAATCAGAGCTTTAAAAAACTGGGGACAATTCTGTAGCCTCAGATGGTTTAAGGCAATAAAAGCTGAACTGATTTTATAAAATTGGAGCTGCAAAGATCGGGGCTTTTATGCAATTAAAGAAGTCCTCGACGGGTGTTTTGCCTTTATAAAACCAGGTATGTACTCTTTAAGATCTGCAACAGAGTCACAGACTTTGATTAGGAACCTAGAACCGCAGCATTAAATCTTGGAGGTGCTTTTGCCAGGGACATCAGTGGGTGCAGGACCAACCTCCGTGAGAAATCCCCAACTGGCTGTATCTGACTGAGCAGGACAGCAGCAATCATTTGGTACCCTAGAACTGCAGCTCCAGCTCCATCACCCCAAAACACCGGCTGCACAATGCCTGGAAGAGGTTGGAGCAGGGAGCGGGGTGATAGAAGCCATAGGGGTGTGTTGCACGACTCTCTTGCTATCTCATTCTCAGAGAAAAGATCTACTGCAGCTTCATTCAGACAGCCTTTGGTGTCTTTAATCCAAACCGTGGCAGATCACCATTTTAGGCTTGAAAGCCTCCAGGTTTGGCAAAGATTGTGGTCGCAATAGATAGGCTTATCAAGCTACCTATTAAGGTCACAGTCTGATGCTGCAGCTGGAGCAAAGACTGGCTGGAGGGAAAGAAGATTAGGAAACTGCCTGTTGAATGCATCCATTAGAAACCTCCATTCTTTTGGATCAGGGTTAGGGTTGAGTTGTGCTAAGGAGTGAAGCAGAATTAAAAGCTGATGTGGATCTGTGAATTACCTGTGCTTCAAATTCCAGTTTATTCCTACCAGAAAGCTGCCGGTGAAGGGGAATGACTGAATACGTGCTGCAGCTGGAGCAAAGACTGGCTGGAGGGAAAGAAGATTAGGAAACTGCCTGTTGAATGCATCCATTAGAAACCTCCATTCTTTTGGATCAGGGTTAGGGTTGAGTTGTGCTAAGGAGCGAAGCAGAATTAAAAGCTGATGTGGATCTGTGAATTACCTGTGCTCCAAATTCCAGTTTATTCCCACCAGAAAGCTGCCAGTGAAGGGGAATGACTGAATACATCTGAATTGGGCACATTTCTCTGCTTCTCATTTAATTGTTTTGTAGCTGGACTTCGCTTACAACTGGGAACTGGGATTTGAGGTTGTTTTGGTTTGGTTTTTTTTTTTTTTCACTTTTCAATTGCAACAATTTTTTAATTGGAGGAATTTTGGGTGGGTTCTGTCAGGTCCAACAAGTCCTGTTCTTGGAAATCTGTTTTATTTGGCAGGGATTTGTATAAATCTCACTCTGGTTGGAGAAAACTTTCTCTTTTTGAGAAGCTGGCGGAGCGTTTGTTTGTTCGCACAGTCATCCCTCTCTCCCAGGAAATGGGTTCGGATCTAAAACGTCTTCTCCTGTGAACAGCCTGGTTGGCTCACCGGGCTGTTAGGAACAGCGTGCTGGCTGCCTTCACTGCTTTTATACCAGAGCCTTAATTCTCTGACAAGTTGAGAAACGAAGAGCGGAAGATGTTTTGGAACTGTGGAAGGAAAGAAATGGTGAGGGTGTCTGGGCCTAGGTGGGGAGACAGACACCCCTTTTCATCCTGAATTTCAATGAGGCTATGAAAGCACAGCTATTATTTCCCAAAAGACGAGTTTGGAAATACTGGGCAGATGTTTTTATTACAGCAATACAGTCAATGCTAGTACAATAAAAATTAAAGGCAACCATTCCCTCTGAGCCAGGGAGAGAGAAAAGACACTTTTTCCCTGCCCTCTTTCCACAGCCACTGGTGGAAGGAGCAGTGATTCAGGATGCTTTGAAAAGCAATGGATTAAGACAGAAGTGCATGAATTACAATGTCCAAGACCTATTGTAAAGCTCTGTTAGTGAGTATTGCAAAAGATTGCAACTGTGGTCTGTCAGCCCCGGCTTGTTTTATCTGAGCCCTGCAGAAACTAAGGGTTTTAACTGTGTCTAGTGGGAAAAAGCCCAAAGAGTTGCCTTTTCCAGGTGTACATCTTTAAGATGATGCCTGTCCTGAAAAAAATTTCCAAGCCAGAGACTTGTAAGTGCCCTCCCTACACTCTCCACACCTGACTGAGAGCGATTCTACTGACATAGACTTGGTTGATCCTGAGAGCTTTCTCCGTCTGATTGGTTTGGAAATCTTTGCTTAATTGTTAAATTGGTGCATAAAGGAATAGCTCCAAGCTCCTTTCGAGATTTCTATGGCTTGGGTATGGCTCCCATCCACATTCTTCTCCAGCAGTGGTAAAGATGCGGCAAGACTAGGAGAAAGTTGAAGTCTTGCTCATTGACCATCCATTGAGCCTCATCATGCCATGCACATGCTTACAGACAAAAAGAACATCCCTGGTGAGAAGGTAACTAGAGAAAGAGGCTAAAAAAACCCAGATGGGTGCAAACATAGCAGGGAAGCATGAAGCAACAGCACGATAGTTAAAACTAGCTCGAAAACACCTTGGACCTCTTGACCCCTACCACATCCCCACTGTGGTGTTTTATCTAATGTGTGCGAACAAAGAGCAGGGAGGAGAAGCTTTAAAAATGGCACTGCAGTCAAAGAACTTTTTAAAAATTCTTTATGCTTAGCCTCCATTAAGCTTGTAATGTTAATTAGGTCTCCTGGGAAGTAAATGTTCTTCCAGGACAGCCTTTTGCTGGGAGGCAGAGTATGGATTGGAGGGAAGATGATCATTCTTTGGGAACAGAAGGCTCAGAAATCCCCTTTGATAATTGGCAGGTCTGGCTTACTTGCAGATTCCCCATGATAATACCTGTCTATCTGGGTGGGAGAACCAGAATCCAGGAAATCCAATAGTGAGAGTTAAGTTTTCCTTTTTAACTTCAGAAAATGATGGGCCCTTACAAAGCGGCCCTTGGCCTCTAGCAGTTTGTTGTTGTGGGCTCCTTAGGGCTCTGACTATCATCAATGATGTGTTTGATATGTTTAACGCTTAGATTCAAGTAGTTAACTACCAATAATTAGCCCTTAACTGACAATACTCGCCTTTTGAAAGTGAGAGGAGAGACTTAGTGTTTCTGTCTAGGTGCTTCAAAACCTGTGATAGCAGGAAAGGCTCCATCCAAGGGGATGGCCATTTGCATCATGGTGCTTACAGGGTCTTGATCCGTTTAGGCATTTCCAAGGAACAGCTTACTGACAAGTAAAAAAACTTTACCCTGTCTTCCAGGCACAGGAGAGGGAGGCTACCAGTATATTATATGAGTACATCACATAACCTCCAGACAGAATATGTTATTAGGATTTATTAGGGTATAATCCTTTTTTGATTAAAAATTATAAATCAGCTCATGTTTGATGTTAACCCGTAAATGCATAGCACATGTCAAGCAAAGCCTTGTATACGTGGCCCCTGGGCATGCATGGAGGAGCCCACCCTGCTGCTTCCATCGCTGTGCAGAAAATAATGGACCCGATCAAAGGAGTGTGGCCCGCGCTGTGTCGGGGACATGGCTTTCAAGAGGTTAACTCTCAGAGATGGAGCATGCTAAGCTGTTGCGTTTGATTTATTGTCCCTCCTTTCTTCTTGTTTCTCCTTGAAACATAAAAGCTTGCAGCCCACAGACTCTTGACATTTCTTTTAAATGCTCTTGTCATTCAGAAATTGCCACAGTCATCTCCCGTAACTTTGCACTTAGTGTTCCCAGCCTGTTTGGGGTTACTTGCAGAAGTTGAAAAGGAAATACAAATAGATTACAGGGCTCAATCCTGCAAGGTGGAGAGTCTTCTTGCTCTGAACCAATAAAGCACTTAACCATTTACTTATCTTCAAGGGTGGGAGTAGGCTGACAGAACTGTGCTACCACTAACTGAATTATAATCTTGCGAATGAAATTGTGAAGATGTCTGCAAAATAAACAGCCACTCCAGCTACCGAGGGCAGGTGACACTGTGTGGGATTTTTAAAGGATCTTCTTGATTTATGAGCACAATTATGGCTTGCACTGGAAACTGCCACTTAAATGCTTTTCTAAAAATCTGCCTCCCTATGATTTGGGGTTAGGTCCCTGGGCTCCTTTTGCACAGCAGGACTGTTTTTCTGCTCATCCTGACTGTATCACGCAGGTCTCCCTCCCTCTAATGCATGCTAATGAAGGATGGAGAGTCTTTCAATGTGCAAGACAGTTCAAGAGATTTGCAACTTATTATCCCAGACCTAAAACAGCTCCGTGGGAAACTCAGTCTCTGGCCTTTGTAGCCATCTCAGGTTCTGAATAAAAGTTGAGGGTTAAGAATAAAAGTTAAGAAAATCCTGGGCTTTTGGGAAAGCACCTTTATTTACTTCAAGACAATGCAGGAATGTCAGGTGGAGCTTTCATCCATTTATGAGCCATTGAATTAGCAGCACTTTTTTTAGCTCTATTAGCTACATATATGAACAGGTGATAATCACCTTGTAAATGGTGCTACATTCAGTATGAAAACAAGCTTAATACCACCTCAGTATTGCTTTCTGAAAGGCAGCCAGAGTGAAGACTCCTATCAGAACCTTCGTTGCTATCAATCTCCAGCTGATAGCAAAGGTCCTGTGGTTCTGACCTGGGTGGTGCTGTTGATCACAGATAGTGCTGGGGTTTGTTTTCTTACCTGTTGTGAACCTTACCCTCCACCCAACATGCATCTTCAGGGAACATTCTTCATGAGCTAGTCCCTTTATACAACTTTTTTTTTTTCTTTTCTTGATTTATCCTTTCTGGTAGAATTTATTTTTTTGTGACTAATGCTTCCAAAATCCTTTCCTTTCAGCCCTGAGCACTAGGGAACCTGAATACTAGCCAGCTCTTCCAAGGACACGTGGAACTCGTATTTCCTAGCTGAATCCTGACAGTTCACTGGGCAAGAAATCTTTTTTTTTTGTCCCACACATGTTGTAAATTGGAATGAAAATCTTAACTTTTTCAAGTTGCTTGTGGCTGAATGCAGCCGTTGTTTCAATGAAAAGGTCATGCAAGAAAAGTATGACAGGGTGGTGGCAGATGAGGGTTTCAGACCTCCACAGAGGAAGGAAATGGACCCAAGTTTTCAACTTCTTGGGTAAGTGCTTGAAGATGTGGTTACTATGGAAAATAGCCCCTGTTCTTTTCTCTGTACCCTTTCAAACGCAGTGCTGCTGGAGTCCACAGAGCACCTTGCCTTCTGGCTAGGGCATCCTGGATATTTCGGGCAAACAGCAGTGCTTGCGGACACCAGAGTGTGGGTATGGGACGTGGATGGGTTTCATGAAAACCAGGACATCCCCCAGCACAGGGAACTTCAAAGAGTCTCCGAGGAAGCTTTTGCCAGTGAAATGGAGACACTTACAACTTTGCAGGCACCCAAGTGGGATGGCATTACTTTTTTCACAGATCTCTCAGCTCAGCTGAGGTGCCTGTATTCTGTGCAACTGCTGTTTTAAATGTTGCCCTTTGTGATTTGCAAGATGAGGCCTCAGGTGGCTCCAGGAAGCCAAGCTGCACTGAGGAGGCACAGCTTTCTCTCAGTAATCCTGGGTAAGATAGCAGCGACAAGTGACATGAAAGGTGCGTTTTGCATGACGTACATGGAAAAGCCAATTACATGTAATTAATGTTGGTTAAATGCTTTGAAGATGAAAAGCTTTTATATAAGTGTGATTAACATCTATTCTGTCAAAATGATTGTCTTTCTAATGTTTTAAGAAGCTTAATAGCATGCTTCAGCTTTTCAGTGTTTATCTGCAAGATGTGATGACCCCATGTAAAGCATTCACAGGAAAACTATATAAGAAAGGCCTTCAGTGGGAGTTGATGTTGGCCACAAACCAAGAGTAGAGACTGAGACACTGTGGGACAGAGATGATTCACCTGTCAACAGCTCAATCTCTTACAAAGGCTCCTAATCAGCAAACCAGTTGAGCGATGCTGAAGTATTGTGCTGATACAAGGTCTTAAATTATAAGCACTTGCTGCAGGACGGCTTACAGAGCCCATGAAAAGGTAGTCTGTGCGTGCTGGATCCAGTTTTAGAAGGTGCATGGTAAGGCGTACCAGCTTACGCTTAGCAGGAGCCCAGGACCTGGCACAGGATTGAACAGACACCTCCAAATGGGAATTTTGCCACCAATTTCAATGAACGCAAGAAATGACTACATCTTAGCATGCATAAAAATAAGCTGTTATTGACTGAAGGCTTGCAGTCGATTGTCTTGCTCCGACACATTTTGCTTTCCACTGAAAATAAAGTGGATTTCATTGTAAACCATTCACAGGAGATGAGAAACAATAAGGGTCGGACACTGAACAATAGGCGTTCTGAGAAAATAGTGAGTTCATACATTGGCAGTTGTTGTTATTTTCTGAAAATGAGTGAAGATGTTTTAGTATGCTGAAATCACTCAAGACTTTTATGGCAGAAAGAGGCCATGGAGTAAATAAACTGGTGACAGGTATAATGAAAGGCATTCAGTTTATTTGCTTGTTCGGAGTTATTTTATTCAAGGGAGCCCTGTTTTGCCTACCACAGGCAAATCCTCGAGACCGTCTTGAAGAAGTATCTCCCTGGAAAAAAAGAATCGTGCAAGATCATGAAGCAAGTACAGAGCTTCTGGATGACAATCAAATGGGTTACTTAATTATTTTCAAGCAATTCCTAGAAAGCATCAGTTCCCAGAAGAGACATATATGAAAGCTCCACTCTTTATTTGCTGCTGGAGAAAAACAAGGGCTGGAACTCCAGTAGTGAGAGGAACACCATGGGAATTGTTTGTAGTGCTGTTGCCAAGAAAAGTCTCCAGATATCACCTAACATCACGCTATTAAATCAGCTAGATAGAGGTCAGGGAGGTTTGTGGGACTATAGGAATGAGCAGAGATCACGCTCTTCCCCTTCACCAGTTAGAGCCCCAGATGAGTTGATCAACTGGTGGGTTAGGACCAGGTTTTCCCTGTATGGTGGAGGTTGCAAGATAGTTCTGAGGGGTTGCTGGGATCACCTTTATCCCCACTGTTCAGCCAGTCTAGCAAAACCCTTCCCCACAGTGCCCTCCTGGCAGCAGTGGAGAAGCAGGAGCCGGGGCCAGTAGTAGCATCAGTTGTGGCTTTGTTTGCTATCAAGAACTGGGGCAGGGTCACTCTGAGCTGTCATCCTTCAGGAAACCTCTCTTGAGGTTCAACACATCCCTCCAAACTACCAGTGATGTGGCAGTGGGGGGCATTCAGGGCTCACAAGGTGCCACCTCTACCCAGCCGCAACGTCCGTGCTCACCGTGTCTGTCTACACGTGGCCAACCAGGTGAGACAACCCGACCTTCACTTGGACCTTCTAACACACACAGAGGATGGACGAGGTCCTCAGGGCCTATCTCTGTCAGTTCACATGTATTAATACTTTAGCTGCTTTGCTTTCGCTGGGATTTTACCTCAGGTTAATCACTCTGTATTTGCTAATGACACGTAGGAACATGCATTTTTCCCCCCTGGTGAAGAGGAGCTGGATCCAGCGAAGCCCCCACCTTTAGTGCAGTTTGCTAGAGTGTCGGCAGCTTCGTCTTTTGAAAATGCAATTGGTAAAAACGTCCAACCCGTTTTCCACGAGGCTGTGGCCACGGGTGGGGATTCACAGGCTCTCCCACCAGGCACCAAGGTGTGCTGCTGGAAACTGGGCATCTCTCAGGCTGTACCCCCTCCCTGGCATTTACCCTGCATCAGGTTTTCAAGTCCACACCACCTTTCATAAACACTAAATGCCCTGAAAAAGAGTTTTAGAGGAGAGAGCTGCAAGGCAACCAACCTTTCCCTCCAAGGGAGGCGTATGATAACTTCAAGCTTTTGTTCCTGTGACCTGCCCTTGCAGGACTGAAAAGAGCTTTGAGCACACACCCAGGAGAGCAGGAAATCTCTCCTACGGATCACTTGTAAAAGGCCTGGTTTGAAAAACACGCCGCAGAAAGAATGAAGCCTGACTGCAAAGGAGAGTGGGGTTTTTTTTTTTTTTTGGTTGGTTTTTTTTTTTTTTTTTGCCCGTGAATAGGATTTCAAACTAGCAGCCAAAGTGAATCATTATACATCCTTGCCATATGCCACTTTCAATCAATAAGGCCTTATGCTCTGCTAACAATCATCCTAAACTACACCTATTAACAAGAATGCACATTTTCATAGTAATATTCCACGCACGTCAGGGCGCACAGACTGCAAACAGTCGAGAGCCATCACAGCCGAAGGGAGACGGAGCTCCTGAGACAACGGGCTGAGTGTGTGGACGTACACCACGCTGTAGGGGCTGCCGCTCTTACACGTGTAGGCTGGTTTTTGCTTTTAATGGCATACGCTCCTACAGACTGACGTGGGGTTTTTTTTCTCTCTTGCAAGTGTACACTTTCCTGATGACCCAGCCAGTTTCTCTCCTGGTCACCCCAGACTTTCTCAGAAGTGGCTGATGCTCTGAGGAGGAAGCGCAGGAAGAGTCAGAGGAGGGATGAGATACGGCTTCAGAGGGACCCCTTCAGTCTGGAGGGAGAGGGAAGACAGCAAAACTAAATCACCAGTGTGATTCGTTCAGATATGAATTAATCTCTGTGAAGATATGGAAACCTGCTATAAAAGGGACACAAGATTTGATGGACGTGATGCAGGAGAAGGAGACTTTATTTCCTCCTTTGTTTCCTACTAATGACGGGGCACCTCGGTTTGCCACCCACTCTTCCTTTTGTCTACTTACATTGCAAACTCCTCCTGACGGGTGTCGCTTCTCCAAAAATACTGTGCTTACTGCAGAAGTTATTGACTGAAATGCCACAGTCTGAGCTGCTCAGAGAAGCCAAGTCTTACACTATGGGCATGAAGCGCTTGGTAGATTCACCCGACTAAAGCAGAAATCTGCACTTGAGCTACTCACCTGTGGCTCCCTTGCTAGTCAATGGAGAGCCAGTCAATACAGTCGATGGAGTCTACGGTGATTCATCTCTTCCTAAAGTAGACGGTTAAAACAGAGCAGATGAATTGCATAATAAAAACACTTATTTCTTCTTGCTGCCCGGAAAGCCCCGAGTGACAGCTCGCATTTAGAAACCTACTCTGTAAATACCTGAAATGAGGTGAATCTAATCCCATCACCCCCCTCATGGCTTCCCCCTGTCCTGCTGCTCCCTGTGCATCTCAGGCATCTGCTGGTGCAGCTCGCCCTGTACCCTGCAGTGCAAAGAGGGTTATGGTTGGGTTGAGGAATGTCAGAGCAGGGTGGCAGTCCCACCTTCAGGTAGCTGAAATGTCCCATCCCTGACAAACAGCCCATAGCCCCAGGCCCTCCCGTGTGGCCCCAGTCCCAGACATGACTCCAAATCCTGTACGTGAGCTGCGCCTCCGGATTGCATCAGCCCTGGGGGTCTGGTGGTGCAGGAGCTCAAGATAGACTATACAAAGTTCTTCTGTCTATGGATCCCGGATTAGTAGAGCATGTACAGTATGGCACGTCCCAGTACGACAGCCTTCAGAAGCTACCACATGAAAAACCCTTCTATCTTTCTCTCAAAGGGTGATTTTAATCTCTGCTTATTTCTGTGTTTTATAACTAAAGGCTGTTGCTGCTATCCTTGTGTAGACACTTGCACGTGGTCTATGTGATACTCTTCATGAGTAATCCTTGTGTGTTTTGCAAGGTTCAACATCAAAATTCTTTGCTAATCAAAAAGCGTCGCTGCTTGGATGTTTCTGTGCTGCAAAATAACCCCCAGTCAATCAAACCCCTTCCAAACAACCCCTGCCCATGCTTCTTGCTTCGCAACCTCGTTTCCTGTGGGTGAAAGTGGGAAAGGAGGAGGTGCTTACTTTTGAGCAAAAAGCTGTGCAACTCTGGGTGTCAGTAATACCACCAAAATATAGCTGAGGTGCTGCAGTGCCCGTTTGCTGGCTCTCTGTGCAAGCACATATCCGTAATTGCACCATTTCTTGCAAAGATTTCACTTAGTTTCTTCCTCTCTGGCACAGTGTGCCCTCATTGAATCTTGAAGTCCCTATTCCTCAGACAATTCCTCTGGCCTTTGATGAAGATTTGTAATCCTGGAAGGGCTGTGCAAAATTTATATTACTAATTTTTCATATTTGGAGATATTAATGATGTACAAGTTACTGGATTCAGTACAAGATAACTGGCCAAATTGCTGTAGTCTATTTTATATGTGAAGTAAATATGAGTGATCAAAGGATAACTTCTGGCTTGAAAAGGCATTAATACTTCCAAAATCAGCTGAGGTAATTAAACTGCATGTATTTGTTTAAATACTTAGCGTAGCTGTTGACCCTATGGCATCCTCTCGGTTCTTTTTAACATCCATAGACATTTGGACTTGGGTGAGATCTTTAGGAATAAGGGCATTACAGCTGGGCGGAAAATAAGTCTTCCCATCACAAGAATATTCAAGATCATGAAATAAACACCTTTTATTCCAAACTGGGATGAAGGCTCAAAATCACAGCCCCAGAATCCAGTCCCGGCAATGACAAAACCACACACAGTCCCGTCTAGTTTCACATCTGGAAAAGATAGTCAAACACCTCCTAACATTTTTGGCCGTCGTTTCTGGCTGGTGGAAGATGCACCTGCTCCCAAAGCAGCCCTGCATCCCTGGGGATCCCCTGAAGGCACACGATGTGGGGACAGGTGCTCCCTTAGAGCAGATACTTAGGGATAAAGTCAAAAGATGGCCGTAGCTGGGTCTGAGCAGCCAACGTGGTGGATATTTCACACGGAAAGGTTCCTTTTAAATTACTTTAAAGTGGCTAGTTCCAAGGCAGGTTTGCATCTGCTCCTGACAATTCACCCCTATGGGGTCCCCAGGCACAACGTATTGTGTGGTTTGGGCCACAGAGCTGCTTTCTTACATGTGTCCTCTGTGTCCTCCTTCCTAAAGAAAGGATGGCAACTATGAAGGAACTATTTTGTTCCTCGTACCATACCCACAAACACAATCTCATGCTCTTGGCCTGTCGTTTCAGACACAGCCAGTGGGACCGGCTCTGCATGGACATGTTGAGCTGAGTTTAGAGCAAACTCAACCCTCTGTGCTGCAGCTAATTAGAAGGTGCATCCAGTGGGTGAGATGCTGGAGAAGAGCTTTAGCCACGGCAAACTGTGATCTCCAGCCAGATTCAAATCCACACTCCCCCCAGCAACTGCAGAAGTGTGTTTTCTACCCTGCACAGATCACATTTATTAATATTTGTGTGTCTTCAGTTTTTTTCATCCTTCATTTCCCTTTACATAGTTTTATTTTTCCCAGTCAATAAGAATGATTTTATTCTTCTTAATTAGATTTTTTTTTTAGGTTTCCCATAGTAATTAATGCACTTTTCTTCAGCAGTATAACCTATTACAGTAGTTAAAATATTAAATCATGGCTGCTGTCAGATATAAGGGACCAAGAAACATAGGTTTTTCAATAGCCACTTTGTCTTCATATTTTGAATTAGTTTGCAGCCTGCTTTTCATTTTTGGGTAAGTAACAAGATCCGTTGATTTGAATGAAGAACAACATTAAAATAAATTGCATTGTACTTTTAATTACATAGCCTTAATTTTTTTTTGTGACACTCCAGGCTCTCCTATAATGTTGTTTAATGTTTATGTCTCTTTATTGATTTGATGATTTAAATACAAAACTGTTGCTTAATTTGCAAATTCCTACATTCAGTATTGGGGTACTGTGCTCATTAAGGAATCAGGGGAATTCTGTTTTTTCTCCATGTCTTTCACGTGCAACCAGGCATGTATGTTCCATATTTCTTTTTCTTAGGCAACAAATGCCAGCTACAGAGATGCTTTTCTTCTCTACCGCTGAGACCATGATGATCCCTACGCTCGACATTTCGAACCAGGGGGCTTGGTGTGAAATGGGCTTCTGCTTCAGGGAGACCACTTTTTGGGGACTCCTTGAAGGTGGCAAAATATAGCGGTGGGTAGGGCAAGAGCCACCACTGGACACACTAGTGTTGGTGGGCTCTTTCTTCACCTGGGAAGCCAAACAACCTCACAGGTGTGATTTGAGCTCCCTGCAGAGGACATGGTGGAAGTAGGTCCTGAAAAAGTCCACAGAAACCATAGGATGAGGCCAGTCAGATCTCCTTTGGTTTATGGTGAGGATGATGTCCTTACCATCCTCCAGATGCCATTCAGAATTAGCTATGAGAATGCAACCAACCAGCAGTAAACCTTCAAAACTTCCTTCCTTCCTTCCTTCCTCTATCAAAACCAACACCTCTAACTTACCTCTTCCACTCACCTCAGCTCTCTCTCGAGGAGCCATGGACATTGCCCCATCTTACCACAGGCAGTGTTAGTCACTCAGCTAAATCCCATCTTTTTGGATTGGTTTTGAGGTGTTTATCTTCTCATTTTAGAGCTCCAGGCATATTTCAGAGTTTCTAGAAGTTAAGCATAATTAAACTTTTCTTTCAAAAATTCATCACCATAAAACTGTTTTCCCCCCCTCTTCATTAATGATTTACTTTCTGTGGAATAAATGCACCAACTGAGGACAGAATCATTATTAAAATCTCAGTTAACAACACAATATTACTTTGGTCCTTTCATTTCCTCCACTATTATAAAATTCAAGATTCATTTCATCTATTAATATTAGCAATCTATTTTTTTTTAATTTTGACCAGGCACAAATTAAAGGGGGAATGATATTATGGAAGCGGCACTAGAACTTACTTTTTTTTTTTGTAAAATCTATTTTTTCCTTTCCATCAGTTCTTTCTTTGCATCTAATATTGGCTTCTTTTGCACTGATATTCCCAGTGACTTCATTTGATACCTGGCATTACTCCCATGGAAGTCAAGTGGAAAAGGCCAACAGACTTCCTTGGAAGGCGATTAAAATCAAGAGTCGTTAAAGAGCTGAAGGCTGGCACACAGGTTTGGGAGCAAGGGAGCTGCTGGGTTCTGGTCCTGGCCTTGCCACAAAATTGCTCTGTGACCCTTCACAAGTCATTTCATTTCTCTGTACTGCAGTTTCCACGTGTTTAAAATAGGAACAAGAGTGTTTGCTGCGCATTGTTCGAGTCTCCTAGCAAATAAAATGTCATCTATAAGAGCTAACTGAGCAGGAAGGCACAGATCCTTCTCTCAAGAATCTGTGTCCCAGAGTAGTGAGGACAGGAGCAGAACAGAGATGCACTCTATTTTTCTGACAGCTCACAAATCACTCCTCTTCCCTTTATAGCAGATCATTGTCGGGGGCTTCTAATGAAATTTCCTTTGTGCCTCTCCAACACCAAACATAACCAAGATTTCTTTGCAATATTTCACACAGAAAAGCCACACTCATGTGCAGTGTTTCCTTGTCAAAGGCTGGATTTTTAATGCTCTGGAATAATCAGCATCTATAGTTATGGCACATTTATTTCTTAGCTTGTTCCTGCACCCCTACAGCCCTAGGAGCTGCAGACCAGCTAAACATGCAGGGGATTGCTCTTGCAATCTCCTTGATTGCAAACAGGGGATTGCTATTGTGGCAGGTCTTCCCAAACGCTGAATTCCAATGATTTCAGTGGCAACCGGAGGAAATAGGAAAAGAAAGTTGGATAAAGCCTTCTGAGAGTCCCCCGTTACGATCCGCAATACCTCAGCCACCCCTGCAAGATCTCTGATGTCTTCCTGCAGTGACAATTCCCCAACAGCCTGTGGGAATATCCCTGTGCTGAACCATCCATAACACCAGGGAGTTTTTCCTGCTCTTTTAATTACGTCTTTCTGGCTGGAGCTGAAGCCCATTGCTCACCCTGCTTGCAGAAGGTACGAGGACACATCGTGCCTCTCCTCTTTTGCATCAGCCTCGCACGTATTCGGCAGCTTGTTTTGTCCCAGCTTGGTCCCCTCTTCAGACCACACACCTCTCTCTCTCTAAGCCTTTCCTCAAAGGCAGGTTTTCTACACCTCCAATCACTCCCTTTTGCACCTCTTTGGGCTTTTCCCAGCTGAGCCGTATCTTTCCCGAGGTGTGGAAATTGTTCTTGAGCCAAGACCCTGCCGCTGCCAAGCTGAATGGAAAGATTGTCCCGTGCCTTCCGTGGGGTGTCCCTCCGAACAGGCGTCCCGGCTCGACAGCCGGATTTTCGCCGCGCTGGATTTCTGCCGTGCTCCCAAGCATCACAGCCCTGGATCTTTTTCCTCACGGCAGCAGCCTGGCCAATTGCTCCTCATCATGTATTTGAGAAATTGATTTTAACTCCCCTGCCAGGGAGTGCAACATTTTAATTACTTCTGTGGATAAAGCCCGTTGCTCCCATTCTGATCAGGACTTAAGAGATAAGTCAAGCAAAGCCTATCAGAGATCCTGCAAAAGCTTGAGCTGGAACTCAGGCTACCGGAATACCCCCAACCAGTGCCTCTGCCATATGTCCTTCACCATTCTCATCCTTGTCCCACGCCATCCTTGTTTTTTAAAAAAAATCTTTCTTCTCCCTCCATTATTACTGAATTCTTTTCAAATCTGGTATTGGTAGTCACTTGCGATGAGTTAAACTATGGTAGGTGAATAATTAAGAGTCTGCGCGCTCTCCCACAGCATGGATAGGCCACAAAAAATGGGAAACAGATTGGGTGCTTGCTGGATTATTGATAATTTCCCTGCTGCCAGCTCCTGCTTCTCAACACAAATGAGTGGCATTTGGTGGCAAAAATAAAGGACGAGATCAGTGAGCAAGAGAAGGTTGGGTGGATACAGAGCCAGGAAAGTCAAGACATGAAGTGCAGTCTTCCTGCCAAAGGATCTAATCCTAATTTAGAGGACACAAAGACACCTACAAATAGATAAAAACTTGAGGCTGGCTACAAAAATATTTCTGTCTCATTCTTCTGAAATCCATGGAGAGGCACTGACTGTGCCAGGAACCCACAATACCCTGGCATCACAGCCTGCAGGGCTGGCTGCTCTCACTTGTGAATACATTTATCACTGATAAGATGCCAAAATGTCCAAGAGATGAACACCAGGGAGCTCTGGGAAGGAAAGCAGGTTGTTCTCACAGGCATGACTGAGTGTAGCAGGACTTTACCTGCATCTGTATTGACGATGTGTCACTCCTGCCTCTCTACAAAATTGATGGACCACTGGTTGGATTCTTAACAGAATAGTTTTTATACTTTGTATTTTTTATGACATGTGGTTTGTCCTACACTATGAAGATAAGCAAACTGTCTGAGAAAGGGCATTAGGGCAGCTGGGCAAGAAGCAGAAGGGTAAAGAGGTAAGACCAAAGTGGAAGCCCATGAAGCCCAGAAATTGCTTGAACAAGCCCAGAAGGGACTGTATCCCAAAGACCTGCAGTGTAACTGAAAGGGCTGAAAAGAGAGAAGTCCCCCAGAGCTGAGGAACGCATGCCAGAGATGGTGGAGTCTAGAACTACATCAACCATGGTGGCTACGGTGCATGTCATGAGGCCCAAGGGTCTATTACAATAGGACAAGGGGTAATGGTTTTAAAGTAAAAAAGGGTAGATTCAGCCTACATGTAAGGAAAAGTTTTTTTTATGATGAGGGTGGTGAAACACTGCACTGGCACAGGTTGCCCAGAGAGGTTTCCATCTCTGGAAACATTGAAGGTCAGGTTGGATGGGGCTCAGAGCAACCTGATCTAGTCAAAGATGTAGCTGCTTATTGCAGGGGGGTTGGACTAGGTGGCCTTTAAAGGTCCCTCCCAACCCAAACTACTCTAGGATTCTATGATTCAGGTCGAATAAACACTGCCAAAGGAAGGAGGATGGACTGGATGACACCTGGAGATCCCTTCCAACATTAGCTCCCCACTTGTACATTGCCAGCTACCAGCGCGTGGGATGAGTTTCCTCCAGGCAATTTGTACCAGCATTTCCCCACGGTGAGCAGCAGAGACAAACACTTTGTGGTGTAAAAACAAACTCTGGTCCAATAAAGACAAAAAAGAAAACTACCTTGCTAGGGATGCCCAGTTCGTTACTCAATACCATGTAACAAAATAATGTTGTGCTTTAAAGCTTAGTGCATCTGCCCTGCTCTATTTATGCTGTGGTCTGGAGTGTTTATCACCTCCTGCTAATGGCAGTAGAGTATTTGCCACAAAAACTTAATTATTTGCTTTCTTTGAAAGGGTATTTTTCCTGATTAAAGCCTTCCTGAGAGCAATGCAGGAAGCACTCAGCCCCACCGGGCATTCTTATACCCTAACCACTGAAATCTGGGACAAAGGCCAATAATCTGGGACAAACTCTAAAAATACACCAAACACTCCAGGACGTATTTTACTGGTCCTTCCATACGTGCCTTGAGTGTGTTAGAAGGCAGAAGGCCGCAGGTAAGAGCAGTGAAAGCAAACCCTCCAGCGCGGTCCAGCTGGCTGCAGGAGGGATGCAGATGCTTTTCTTAAGAAGGCAGAGCCATTTCAAAGAGAGACACGGCACCTCCATGTGAACCTTCCCCTTGTTAAAGCTCAATCATGACCAGTTTAAAACCCCTCCGAGTCTAGCTTTTTAAAATAAAAAAATTGGAATTTGAAAGATGTTCTTCTGCCAAATAAACACCTGAGGAGGGAAGAAGGCGAGGGGAGCTGGAGAGATGACAGGCCTTGGCTCTAGGCTGCTGTAGCCACCAGATGCACTTTCAAACACCTGCATTGCATTTGCAGGTAAAACATCAACAGCTGAAGACAACGTGGGTAAATACCTACTGTCTTCTTTTAGAGGATGGTAACTTAAACGGACAGGGTTAGGGAACAGTCTAAGGGCAGTGCCTGAACATGCTGTTCTCACTCTGCACATTTAAGGGCTGTTGTATTCCCAGGCTCTTTTTCAGGTGTTGCAAAAGCCCACGGGATCTGCTGGCAGCCACCCAACAGAGCGCAGCAGAGAGGGCTGGTCCAAGCACAGAGGAGGTTTGACACCGTGCCCTTCACCTGCCACCCCCATCTGGTGCCAACGCCGGCTCTTGCACAAAGCAAAGTGGGATGACCAGGGTGACTCTGCAGCTCTTGAGCCCCCAGCTCACAGCACTGCCCCCTGATTAGCTTTAGTCCAAGAGTGGGACAATTTTCTTCTGCCCTTCTGCTTGTCCATCTTGCATAGAGACTTTGCAGATAGCATAGAGTCATAGAATGATCAGAGTTGGAAGGGACCTTTGGAGACCATCTAGTCCAACCCCCCTGACAAAGCAGGGTCACCCAGAGCAGGTTGGACAGGAATGCATCCAGGTGCGTTTTGAATATCTCCAGAGAAGGAGACTCCACAACCTCTCTGGACGGCATGTTCTAGTGCTCTGCCACCCTCAAAGTAAAGAAGTTTTTCCTCCTGTTGAGATGGAATTTCCTGTGCTCCAGTTTGTGCCCGTGGCCCCTTGTCCTGTCACCGGGTACCACTAAAAAAAGTTTGTCCCTATCCTCTGTAAAGCTGCCCTTTAGATACTGATAAGCATTGATGAAGTCCCCTCTCAGTCTTCTCTTCTCCGACTAAACAGACCGAGGTCTCTCAGCCTTTTCTCATAAGAGAGGTGCTCCATTCCCTTGATCATCTTCTGAGCCTTTGCTGGACTCTTTCCAGCAGTTCCCTGTCCTTTTTGAACTGGGGGACTCAGAACTGGCCACAGTACTCCAGCTGTGGCCTCACCAGGGCAGGGTAGAAGGGGAGAATGACCTCCCTCGACCTACTGGCCATGGTCTTTTTAATGTACCCCAGGAGACCACTGGCCTTCTTGGCCACGAGGGCACATTGCTGGCTCACGGTCACCTTGTTGTCCACCAGGACTCTCAGGTCCCTCTCTGCTTTCCCTAACCTGTAAGCAGTGCATGGGATTACTGGTCCCAGTCCCTAGATCCCTAGTCCCTAGATCCCTAGGACTCTGCACTTGCCTTTGTTGAACTATGCACGCCAAACAATCTGATGATGGGACTTGCCTTTATTTACCTTCAGCTTTTAATGGAAGGAGGACAGGGTGCTTTATGGGCACAGAGCAAGAGATTAATAGATTCCCATTACTGGAGGCTGTCACAGTTACAGGGTTGTCACCAAGAAGCGATTCCGGTGTTGCAACCACCAATTTGGGAGCCCATCTTCCTGACAGGCATCCAGGCAGCCTTAAACATTTCAAGCAGATGGGATTTTGCTGCTGTGGCAGCTGGTAATCTGTTTGAATGGTTAAAGTACCATCAGCTGGTAGAAACATCTTCCTTCCACCAAATTTAAGATGCATTGACTTCAACTCGTTGCAACGAGCACTCTTGGAAGTTAGAGAGACACTTTTTTTTTTTTGAGATAAGCACCATCAATAGTGAAACGACTGTATTTGTGTTTTACAGGGACACTGAGGAGGAGAGCTTGAAAGCAGGACATTAAAATGAATGTCTACAGCCCACTTACTCTGCTTTTCCCAACTCCTGGTCACTGGCTTTTGCAACAAACGGAGCTTTTGTACTGGAGATTCAGGGAAATCCCTCTGCGAGCAGAGAGAGCAGCCCAGCTTGGTGTTTCGGGGGAATTTGAATGGTGGTTTCTCATCACTAAAAAGCAGAGAAGTGCTCAAGGGCATAAGACAAAGCCGGCAGCCACAGGAACCTTAAGTACAGTGAATCTCAATGAAGAAAATACCTGAAAGGAACCTCAAGCATTAGGCAGACCTTTGACGCTATGTCCTGGGTTAAAAAAAGATAGAAAATGCAGTCCTTTACCAATTAAGCATATACCGTCATTGCAGAATTAGTCATATGATGGCCATAATCCTCCTTGTCTGAGCACAGAAGTCTCCAACTCCAGCGTGGGTGTGCTTTGGTTCATGGCGAGCTGGCAGGACTTGGGGGTATGGATTAGAGCCTGGATTCTCCCTTTTTTATTTTTTGAGGTGGGGTAAGGTAACACGCTAACGGTACAGCTTGCCATCCAGCACGGACCATCCTCTGGAGCCTTCTTGCAATTAAATTCCCCACCCAATAGTCCTGACAAGTTCTCCCGGATTTAAAGGGAAATAATTATACGACAACTCTGCTGGTTACAGCGGTAAAAATAATGAGCTATGCCCCAGAAGTCCTAAGAAAATCCACAGACGAGTAAAGCGATGCTGAAGATCCAACCTGAACAAAGCTTTGGCACGTGGCTCTGGCACTGGGCGACACGTGCCAGCTGCTGGTATTTACACTTTAATCAAAATACAACCAAAAAGAAGGGAAAAGTTCAAATTCTGGAGGATGGCAAAACTGCTGGTTTACGGGCATCTCAGTAATGGATCCCTTTGCTCGGTATATTCCCCCCCGTCTGTCAACAACTGATGCTTTGCTTTTCAGTCTGAAGCTAAGAAAAGCTACCAAAAAATACCTTCGTAGAGTTTAGGGTCCATTCTGTCTGCCCCATCACTCGCTATTTTTACCGGCCGCGCTGAAGCCAGACCGCAAAGGGCAAATTTGTCAACGTGGGTGGGCTTTTTTAGTGCAAAAAACCCGAGGGCTCGCAGAGACAGTAGCAAAGACCATCTGCATCCAACGTCTGGAAGTTCAGGCTCTAATTTAAAGCCGCTTCAAATATAGAAATTCCAGCAAAGTTAATTGTAGCTGCGTTACGGAGAGGTGACAGCAGCGAGTCCTTAGAAAGCTGGGGAAGGTTTAAATCTGCCTGGGCTGGGTTCCCTTTAGAGTCAGGGAAAGCCACTGGGAGCAGAGTCAGGCTAATACTGGGTATAAATCCTACTGGGAAATCCTGCAGGTGAGACACCACCGCGCAGCAAGGGGATTTCTTGAAAACGAGGATAAAGTTCTTTAGCAAAACCACCGTGTTCTCCACATGTTAAGACCCGTGCAGCACCGCCCTGCTGTATTATTAATTGGTCTGTGCTTTTTAAAGCTTCCTAATTCTGCTCACAGCCGAGAACTTCGCTTACCGTTATATTAAGAAACCGCTTCATCGTGTGGGTTGCTTATTAGTGGGAAGCGCTTAATTACAATAAAACGCGTAGTTAAAGTGACAATTTATTTACTCAAGGTTATGAATATAAATTGTGGTGGTTTTTTTTTTATTTTATTCTTACCCAGGCATTTTGAAAAGGGAAGGTTAGAGGCTGGGATGCCAGGGGTTTCTTTAGGACGAGTGGTTTCCTAGGGGCAGCTTTAGGAACTGATGTGGGAACTGCAGCTGGGGAACCAGTTTGCTGTGGTGGGGCCACAGCTCACACGCTTCTCACCTGTTGCAAGCGATGCAAGTTTTGCCCAAAAAGACAGGAAACGGGTCCCTTTAACTGCACCAGAGCTCTGTAACCTGCAACGAGCCGACGCCGTGCTGAAAAATAAATCCCCGTTAGTGAATACTTGAAGAGATAAAGGAAACATTGGGTCCCCTTCCCCCCAGTATTTTCCATGTTTTATAACACCTCTCTCGGTATAAATTTCCATTCACTGAAGAAATTACATTTCACGAGAGCTACAATAGGATTTGAAGATAAATGACACGCGAGCACTGCAGTTTCGTACAGGCTTAAGCGATCCAAGTGTCTTTATCACGTGCGGGGTATCAAAATACATGAATTTGACTTGTTACAACAGTCACACGAGAAAGATTGAGTGTCATATGAGGCTGCAAAGCATAAAACCATCTCAGCTAAAATTTATTTTCGCGCGGGAGGGTTTTTTTTAACAGCTGAGTATAATTGTTTAAAAATGGCCTGAGCTGTGCAGCCCTAATGATAACTGGAAACAGGAAAAAAACAAAAAAAGCTCTTGAAAACCCCGCTTGTAAGGGCACTTCGTGCAAGCACCACCCGCTCGTAACACTTGCTACCTTCCTTCATTGCTATTTCCAAAATTCTTGGAGGCTGACGAAGTTTTTAAGTGTCATCTTGCTGGGGCTGTAACACTATCTCCAGACAATACTCACTCCCGGGGCTTTTATGTTGCAAGCAGGGAAAACATTTTAGCTTTCCAGGAGGGGGAAAACATCTCCCCGTGAAACAATGTAAGCGAGACGGACGGCGATTTAATAAATGAATATTTAGGGTATCGTTTATCCCTGGGCAAAAATCACCCCCACCCCGGGGGGGGGGGTGGTTCTCTGAAGGCATCGCCGGTGCCACGCAGCAGCACGATGTCCAAGTGCAGAAGGCCACCCTACATCCGTCTTGTTGGGTGGCTTTAGGACAATGTCCCATCCCCAGAGCCCCGGGCCTGTTTCCTCAAAAGCCATGACTGGAGAAGAGAAGCCTGGAGAAGAGAAGGCTCTGGGGAGACCTCGTAGCAGCCTTCCAATATCTGCAGGGAGCTACAGGAGAGCTGGAGAGGGACTCTTTGTCAGGGAGTGGGGGGACAGGATGAGGGGTAACGGTTTTAAATTGGAAGAGAGGAGATTTAGATCAGATATTAGGAAGAAATTCTTTCCTGTGAGGGTGGTGAGACACTGGAACAGGTTGCCCAGAGAAGCTGTGGCTGCCCCATCCCTGGAGGGGTTCAAGGCCAGGCTGGATGGGGCTTTGAGCAACCTGGTCTGGTGGGAGGTGTCCCTGCACATGGCAGGGGGTTAGAACTTGATGATCTTTAAGGTCTCTACCAACTCTAACCATTCTATGATTCTATGACAGACGCCTGATGAACGTGCTCCCAGGTCTCTACTCGTAAAGCACAAATTCAGGTACCATGAAACGGGGCTTTTCATAGTGTGGTGATTAAAAATAGGAGCCAGGGAGCATTTCAGCCTCAGCAGGGACACAGCCCGAGCCTGCGCTGCCTGCTCCTGAGGGCTACTATTTTCTTGGTATGAACTAAATATCTCATTTTAGCTAATCGAGGGGATGCCGGTGGAGTGAGACACCGGGTCATAGTTTATCGCCCCACACGTTTCTCCACACTTCAGTCGCTCGGGGGCTGTTTAAGAACTTACTCCTTGAATGAAACGCGCAGAAATACTGACCCGTTATTAGCTCTCGAATGAAATAAGCAGCCGTATAGGAAATATTGACCCGCTACTTGTCTCTTCTCTTGAGGGTCCAAATGCAGCCTGAGCTGCTGCAACCCACGGCCAGGACATTTACTTCTCCTTTGACCACTGCCTTGCTGTCCCTTCTCCACCCTGTGTGGTCTTCAAGGTCAGGCTGGATGGGGCTTGGAGCAACATGGTCCAGTGGGAGGTGTCCCTGCCCATGGCAGGGGGTTGGAACTGGATGATCTTTAAGGTCCCTTCCAACCCAAACCATTCTATGATTCTCAGTGATTTGCCCCACAAGCGTCGAGTGACAAAATCAGTCCTCGATGCCTCCAGATTAAAAACCCAAACTTGGTTTGGGAGTGCTTGTTTCTGAATAAATGGGGATCCTCCCCGATCCATCCCTTTGACAGGGGGTATGTTCTGTTCATGGTTTGTCTAGCTGGGTGACATGACCCACCTCACTTTCTCCGTGCCACAGACCTGCCCAGCACTGTTTTTTGCTGCTTTTTGCTCCGAAAATTATTTTCTTGAGCATGTTTTTGCAGCTTTGCCAATTGCACTGCCCGTGGGTGCACACATCAGCTGTTAACTTTGCCCCAAGAGTATCATTTTTAAAGTCACAACCACTATGCTCCTGCTCTCTTTACTTATAGTAAACATATGAATGAGGTATGATACCATGAATGATGCTATTAATCAGTTTATTGCAACTCCACCTAGGAATCCCATTCACAGTTCAGCCCTTATTGCGCAAGTGTTATATACATATAAAAACATCTCCAGCTTCAAAGAGGTTACAAGCCCTTACAAAAGCCTCCTGAAGTTTTCTGTGAGCTTCTTACTGTTAAAAAAAAATATATATGTATTTCTTCTTGGAACAAAACGCTTCTCCAACTTGGAAAAGAATGATTGATATTGACTCTTATCTCCCTCCCGAGTAAAAAGCGAACGGTTTGAGAAATATTTGCAGCTTTACTCCCCGTGGGACAAATGTGAGGATTCGGGACCGTGCATGGGAGCTGTGCCGGCACGCAGCATCCGTGCCACGGCCCTTCATCCCGATGAATCCGGGGACCCGGCAGAGCCAAAGTCTTGGGAACGACCCAACTTGAGCATCTTCCCTTCTTCTTCCTTCCCCTTAAGATTCCTTCGCTGCTCCCTAATGCCGTATTATTTAGTTATAATTAAAATAAATTGCAGAGAGAGTTCAATTCCTGTAACCCTGGCAATAGAGAAAACCTTATTAACCCTGAAATGGCCTGAAAATTGATGCTGCTGAAGTGCCCCTTCAACCCTGGACACTATCCCTGCAAGATTTTGGGGACAAGGGACTTTTTTGGGTGCGGGGGGGACACCAGCAGGGAAACCACATTCCACCAGCCTGGAAGAGGAAGAATGGGGTTTGGAAGAATGGGGTTTTTTG